GAAATTAACAAGTTGAACCTTAGATTGCTATGTAAATGCACAGTAACCAGAACAGCCAAAGCAACCTGGAATTAAAAACAAACTGGGAAGACTTATAATACCTGACTTCAAATTTTACCATAAAGTTATAGCAAATCAAAAGAATATGGTATTGGCGTAAAGACACATATATATCAGTGAACAGAGCAGAGCATCAAGAAATGACCCTTTTTATTTATAGCTAATTGATTTCAACAAAGATGCCATGGCAATTCAATGAAGAGAGAATGTTTTCAACAAATGATGCTAGGAAAATTGAGTTCCATATGTAACAAACAAGCAAACAAACAAAAACTTAGATACCTATGCAATATACCAAAATGAACTCAAAATGAATCACATACCAAAATGTAAGAGCTGCAACTACTACTGACTTCTAATAAAAACAAAGGAGAAAAATCTTTCTGATCTTACGTTAGGCAAAAATTTCTAAGATATGACACTAAAAGCATGATAAAAGAAAAAGTTGATAAAATGGAATTCATCAAAATTATAATCTTTTGCTCTCCAAAAAAAATCGTTTTATTAAGAAAATGAAAAAATAAGCCTCAGACTGAAGAAAATATTAAAGGATTTGTATACACAATACATAAAGCCCTCTTATAATTCAACAGGCAGCCAAATAACCCAAGTTAAAAAGGACAAAAGATTTTTTTCAAGTGAACTCTACCCCCAATATGGGGCTCAAACTCATAAACCCAAGATCAAGAGTTGCATGCTCTACCAACTGAGCCAGCCAGTCACCCCCAAAATGGACAAAAGATTAATAGAGATATTTTACCAAAGAAGATATACAGATGTTTAATAAGTGCATGAAAGGATGCTATTAGTCATTAGGAAATATGAATTAAAACCAAAATAAGATGCCACCACACATCCACCAGAACGGGTAAAATCCAAAAGACTAACAATATCAAGGATTGATAAAGATGTATAGAATCTGGAACTCTCACACATTAATGGTGGGAATGTTAAGTGGCACAGCCCCACTGGAAAACAGTTTGGTAATATCTTAAAAATTAAACATAAATTTAACATAAAAGTTAAACATAAACAGCAATTCCACTCTTTGGTATCTACTCAGGAAAAATAAAAATATATGCCTATATGAAGATATGCATACAAATGTTATAGTACCATTATTCATAAGAGCTTCAATTGAAAACAAACTAAATATCCATTAATCAATGAATGAAAATCCACACAATGAAATACTCATTCAACATTAAAAGGAAAGTACTGATACATGCTATTACGTGATAAGCATTAAAAAAAAAAAGCTGAAGACATATGCCATGTGAAAGAAGTCAGACAACTCCCCCCAACACACATATTGTATAGTTCCATTTACATGAAATTGTAGAAAAGACAATGCACCACTGAGAAGGACCCAGCATCTCCTTAGTGTTACTGTTGCCTGAAATGCAAAACCTGAATCGAATCATGAGAAAAAAATAGACAAAACTGGGGCACCTGGGGGGCTCAGTGGGTTAAAGCCTCTGCCTTCAGCTCAGGTCATGATCCTGGTGTCCTGGGACTGAGCCCCTCCCCCGCCACGTGGGCTCTCTGCTCAGCAGGGAGCCTGCTTCCCTTCTTCTCTGCCTACTTGTGATCTCTGTCTCTGTCAAATAAATAAAATCTTAATAAAATAAAAAAATTTTAAAAATAGACAAAACTTTGGCATCCTACAAAGAACTGCCCTGTATTTTTAAAAAAATGGTAAGGTCATAAAAGATAAAGGTAAGATAAAGGTCAAGGTACTGTTCCAGAAGGAAGGAGACTAAAAAAATATGAAAAGGAAATGTAATGTGTGATCCTAAAATGAATCTTAGAATGGGATAACTGTCAAGAGTGATAGTGGGATAACTGGTGAAATCTAACCATTGACTGTGGAACGAGGTACTAAATTTCCTGATTCTGGCAATCTGTATTGTGGTTATGTAAGAAAATGTCCTGATTCTTAGGAAATAGACACTGAACTACTTAAGGGTAAAGGCACATGGTATCTGTAACACTATCAAAAGGTACAAAAAATAAATGTGCATGTGTTTATATATGGAGAGACAGAAAAGAAATGATAAAACAAATGGAGCACAATTAATGAATGTAGATGTATGGGAGTTCATTGTACTTTTCCTGCAAGTTTGAAATTATGTTAAGATTAAACTATTTAAAAAATCTACATTTGGTGGGACTGAAGTGTCATAACTCACTTTTCTTCTGCATATCTACATTGAATACACCAAAAACATCTTTCTCAAACATCAAGATAATCAGATACTATCCTTCCTCAAGAGTGTCTTATGGCCTCTGATGCCACAGAATGAAAAAAAGATTATAGTAGGATACTTACAGTCTTTTACACTCTGGTCCCAATGTACTTTTCCCACATTGCTTCTGAGATTCTTTCCCAAACACTTTCAGATCTGTCTCTGCTTATGTCACTGCTGAGAAGGTCTGACCCCCAAATCCTCATCTTCTGCAGTTCAACTCAAATGTCCTTTCTTTTATCCTTCCCCAATTCCTTTTTTTTTTTTAAGATTTTATTTATTCATTTGACAGACAGAGATCACAAGTAGGCAGAGAGAGAGGAGGAAGCAGGCTCCCCGCTGAGCAGAGAGCCTGTTGCAGGGCTCGATCCCAGGATCCCAGGACTCCGGGACTCCGGGATCATGACTTGAGCCGAAGGCAGAGGCTCTAATCCACTGAGCCACCCAGGCGCCCCATCCTTCCCCAATTCCTAAAGGCAAGCTCTTTCTCTGTACACATCCTGTGTTCACAACTCCTGCCACTCCTTTTTTCCACATTATTCATCACACCTGACTTGCATTCTCCACCCAGTGGCTGGCACGTGCCAGGTGCTCACCCTGTTGAAGTCCTGACATAATTTTATTCTCGAACCTTGCCACTTAATTCGAAAAATAATTTTCTATTTTCAGCAAAGGAAATAATCACATTTTGATGGTTAATACAGTATCTGGGCAGCAAATCAAGATCAAGCAGTGATAGAGCCATTGACAGGGAATAGATGAAACTGGTTGGAAATATTGTACATAGTCATTAGTGACCTTCAGCTGAGCCTATGTACCTCTGGGCTATGGGGCCTCCTGACTTCAAAATTTACCAAACACTTGACTGTTAAATTAATCAAGTTCTGTGTACAAAGGCAAAAACAGATATAGACTTGGACCCACTGGTAAATACAGAAAGATATTCGAGTAGATAAGGTACTTGAGTGGATCATTAAATTCTTTGAGTTTCCTATTTAATTTCCTTAGTCAGAAGGAAATGATGCACACAGAAACAGAGGAAACACTAGGAGGCAGATTATTTTCCATGATTTTATCACAAAGCACGGCCTGAGGGCTCAAGCACGCCTATGGAACGCAAGGGGGGGGAAGAAAAACAAAATTAAGAAGGGGAGAGTAATGGGGTGAAAAAAAAATTCACCAATCTCCTAATCTTAAATTTATAAGAAACTGGTGTAAACAGTGGTGTTAGGATCGAGGGAAGCAAGGAGACATTTTCAAGACCGGCCAAGCCCAGTTCAATTCTTCAGGCTTAAAGTCACAATGTGCGATGTTGTTTTACTGTTGTTTCCAGTGCACCCAAACTTGGTAGCATTCATATTTAACAGAACTGATCAAGAAAATGGGCTGCAAACGCATTCTGCATCTGTCTTATGAACATAACGCTGAATTACAGAACTTCAAAAGTACATGCACCTGTTAATAAACGTCTTGGCGGTAGTACAATCAGAGTCATTAAAAGCATCCCCGGGGAAACCAGAAGACCATATAATTCACATAACCCAAGAAACTCATTTTGCTTAAAACATCGCATTTCACATGTACACGTATCTGGAAGCTTGGCACAGTCACCTTACTTCCAGGCCTCTAAAGAGATCTTGACCCTTTAAAGGCAGTCCGGCTTCTCGGCCACACACGGTTTCCCAGCACGCGGGTGCGCCCCCGCTGTCCCCTCTGCCACCACCTCAGCACTCGCCGCCCCCGGGCCGCACCTCCCTCTCGCCCCTAGGGAGCCGCAGCAGGTGGGGTGTGCGGCCGGCGGGAGCACCCCGTCACCTCCGGCCCTCGCCTCCGCCCTGCCTGCCACCCACCTTCTTCCCCCCCAACCCGCTCCCCTGCCCTCAGGAACTTTCCCTCACCTGGGCGCGTCCTGCAGACCCGGCCCTCTCTCCGTCAGCACCCCCACTTACGGTGTGGTCGGGGGGCGGCCGCGACGCCGTCTCGCGCAACCCGGAGCGGTCCGGACCCGGGGGAAGTCCCTGCGAGCCGATCGCCACCCGCCCAGCAACTGAGGAGCGAAGGGCCGCGGCGTCTCCGGGGCAACCGGACGCTCAGGGCGCGCGGGCCGGGCGGCTTCCGGAGCGGTCCCCCAGCGCACGCCGCACGGGAAGCCCGGGCCGCGCCGCCGGGCCTCGGGAGGGGCAGCCTCCGGGCGGAGCCGTGACGTCCCGGGTGCCCACGCCGCGGCGGTTTCTGCTCCGGAGCCCTGAAGACGCCCTGGAAGGCGCTCGGGAAACAAACTACTTTTCCATGAACGCCGTGACTGTAGCAAGTCCGGTTCCTTTCCAAGTTCTCAACAGCGCTTCAGAGGAAGCTCGCGTCAACGGTGACACGAGGCCGCTTCCCTGCCCGGGCGGAGACCTTCAGTTTGTCAGATCATACGTCCCAGTCTTGCTTTACGGTCCACACAGCCTTTCGACAAACCTGTGGAGGCTTTGCCGTGACAGGCAGCTGTGAGCTGTGGGACACACCGCTGCCGCGTTCGCGGTTCAGCAGGCGCGCGCGCGCGAGGGGGCGGGGTGGTATCTGAGCGGATTCAGAAGGAGACAGATGGGCCACCCAGCGGGCAGCAAGTCGAACCAGTCATGTGATGAATGTCATATCGAAGTAAACGTGTTCACGCCGGACGAGATCATTTTTGCCAAAGCTTACCCTCTCGTTCCCAAATGTGAACTTAAAAATACTGGATGTTGACGAGCACATACATGCTTGCTCGGCGTCAGTAACGCGCTCCCCACCGCGCGGGGTTCAGGGTGGGCACACTTCCCCCTCTCCCTTCAGGTGGCTGTACTCTTCATCTTGTTTTTCCATTTGCTTCAAGTGCTTTGGAAATAAAACCAGAAACCACCTTTGTCTCCGTTCTCTTTCAAGACCAAGCATCCTCCCAATAAACTCAAATCTACATGAACTCACACCTCCTCCTTTCTGCCCTCATCATGCTATAGAAAATATTCTCAGGAAGGATACAAGGGATCACCTAGGCACAAACCCAGCGGCCTGTTTCCACGGGCGTGTGTCCGATCGCTGCAGTTCCGAAAACTCTTGACTGTGGAGCTTCTCGCTCCTTTTCTCGTTGGGAAGCTCCCCACAGTCAGGCGCCACCCTGTTTTCTAGCTTTGTGCCCGTTGCTGTGCTCCAGGGTCGCTAAACGGCTCAGTTACGTTTATCCTTAAGGTCCTGGAACCCTAGTCTAGCGTACAGCTTGCTACCCTTTTGTCCGGCGCGCCTTAAACTCTTCATCTAACAACACGGTTCATTCCAAACAAAGGCTTTCTTTTTCCCCCAAAGTATAATTATGTGCAGTCTTTTTTGTACCTTTATTTTTTTCATCCAAGTAGGCTTCTTGAATACTGCAAATGATGCCTTTTCCATTTTTTTTCCAGTGCCAGTGAGGTGCCTGGGTACACTGCAATATATAAGTTGGTTAAATAACTAGCTCGCAAAAGTAAGAAGTCTGCAATAAGTTTTGATTACACTTACTGAATAAGCTTTAGCTGTAATTTTATGCAAATCCTTTTATTCTAATACAAAACAACACTTTGAATAAAGAAAATGCTTTTTGGTAAAGCCACAAAATTAAGATAGGAAGTTAATTTCTCTTCTTGCAAGAGACTGTGAAAATCAGCATTTGAAATCCAACTCCTCAAGAAAATAAATCTAATTTCGGGGAGAAAAAAAATGCTTCATGTATATTAGAGGGCAGGGGATATACTACTTGTGTTCTGTGTAATTCGTACTTTAGTATAGTACTTACAGGTATACAATTTGAACAAAGTGGACTGGGTTCAAGTTATAGCTCTACCACTTATTAGTTATATTCTTTGGCAAGTTATTTAAGCTTTCTGTGCCTCCGTTTCTTTACTTGTAAAGTGGCATTGACTTTGTTCTTTGCTTCTTGTGTTTTTCAATTTCCTTTTATGCACATGTTAACTTTTAAAAAAATTTTTTTAAAACCTTAAAAAAAAAACCACAATACAATACCTACCCCACTGGGCTGTTCTGGGGCTTCTGTAAGACAACCTATGTAAAGCATGTAGAATCATCACACCTAGCACAGATATATGCACGGGGCACTTACTATATTCCCTCGAGCAATACTCTGAGTGCTTACCCATTATTTTGTATAGCACACATTTTCATCTTTCTTCTAGTAATGGTAAAAATTGCTATCTATCTGTCTTCTCTTCCGCGATCTCTCCTGAAATCAGCATAACCTGAATGACAGCCAGCAGGTCCAGAAACAACTGATCTCATTCTTTTCAACACTACTAAGAAACTAGCTAATAAGATAGACAGCTTGAACTTCAATGAAGTATATTGTCTCTAACATTTAGGTGAGTAGCTCTTTTCCTTTTGAGCGAATAAAGATCCTTAATCAAAAGTTACTAGGTGGAGCTATAAAATATGCATTTTTAAGAGTCATCAAAGATTATTCTGAGGTGTATGAGCCTTGGACCACCCTCAGAAAACTGATTTAAATTCAGGTCCACCAATGTTTTCCATATAGGGACTGCACATCAGAATAATCTGCATGACTTTATAGAAATAACAGGTTATTGGGCTTGGCCCCCAAAGATTGATTACAGGGGTCTATGTTTTTAAAGAGCCCATGAGTAACACATAAACCACTTGTATATTTTCCAGGAATAATTCCAAGTGTTTGACAGTTAAATTGTTAAATTTTTTGAGGTGTGACCCTTTATATAATTTACAGGATTTGGAAATTAGAAAAAACTAACCAAGAAAAAGGACCAACAACCTGGTCAACAAATGCCAAGAACAGAATCTTGATGTCTTGAAAATCTTTTCTATGAGTCTCTGTTTTTCAATAAGTTGATGATATTGTTATATTAGCAAAGATGTGTTTTTAAAACAGCCGTTACTCAGTCATTAATGCTAAGATCAGTGACAATGTATTTATTGGGGAAAAGCCATATATATACACAACTGTTGACAACACCTGATTTCGAAGTCATGTTTTTAGATTAGGAAACTGTTGCAGAGTCAATAAACTACGTAAGTCACAGAGAAGGGTAGTGCAGTAGCAAAAGGAGAAATGGTGCCTCATAATCCACCATCCAGTTCTTCTCACCTAATTGTCCCTTTCTTCAGTCTCTAGAACTGCATTCCCCAACACTCTCCTGTTCCTTTCTGTGACCCAGGAGTTGGCAAACTTTTTCTATACAGGGTCAGATGGTAAATAGTTAAGGCTCTATAAGCCATACGACTTTCTTGCAACCACTCACCTGTGTCACTATAGTGCAAACACAGCCACAGACAACACATAAATGAGTATGTGGTATGGTGTTCCAATAAAACTTTATTTACAAAAACAGGCAGTGAGCAGGATTAGGCTGAGGTATGTTTGCTGACACCTGCTCCATTAAGACTATGAATGTTTCACTGATTTTCCTGATCAAAAAGTTGAAGAGTCTGTAAAAGATACCCCTTTAAGAAACTGAGATGACAGATCAAATAAAAATATGATCTGAGGGACCAGAATGGGTATGTAGGAGTCAATGCAGAATAATTAAAAAATTGTTTTTCTCCTTAATAAATTTCAGTTTTACTCTATACAGAGATTAAGCCAGATGACAAGCTACTGTACAACCGCATGTTAAAAAACATGTTTATTTTACACTATGTACAATCAGAAACATATTTAAAAGCATTATCAATTAAAATAAATGAAGACCATAAATCACAATTTAGTTTGTTCCTAGTGTATATACCCACATTAAAATATAAAGAACATATACCAAAAAAGAGCCAAAGTGTGCATTTTGCTAAAACTTGGTATATACATATTCCATTGGAAAAAAGCAATCAAAAATGACTTTAAACCAAAACTAAGTTCCTGCGATGTGTAGTAACCATTATATTGTTTATATGAGGTAGTAACTAAATTATTTTGGCCATGTGTTAATACTCTAAGTCAAAAGAAATATGAAAATGATCATAAAATAAGGCCAACCAAAGTAAAAAATTTCACTAGAAATTTGAACCACTCCCCTCTATGGAATGTTATAGTTCTTCAATGTGATTCTATGAAATGTTTAGTGTGGGGTCTTTAATAACGCTCATTTATCCTTTGTGCAACTGTAATTCAGAGAACTGCAGTGTTATATCACGGTACCGCTATTCTGTGATTCAAAATTTTTTCAAAGGTGTGTTTTTTAAGCACAAACAATCTTACAGGATTCTGCTTAAGTATAAAAAGACCAGTTACTACAACAGGTGGTTAATTGGGTTGTTTCACACAGAAAACCACCCAAATACATTTAAAAAAGATGTTGTGGAGCCAAATGCATATTGACAGTGTCACAGCTTACTTTTGTGACAATACATCACATATCAATACTTTGTGCAAATATAAACACCAGTGTACTTGCATTAAAATTAAAAACAAGATTATAAAATGATTATAGCCTCCATTACAATTTTGAAAGTTACAAGATTTGTATTCATATTACTAAATTACATATAATAAAAATACAATAGTGTTAAATGTACGGTTTCATTGCCAGCATCCCATTTTATAATACAGCCACACCTAAGAATATACTAAGAATTCTTAAAATATTAACCCCATTGCATTTTCATCAACATTTACATCTGTACAGATAAGACACTTACTTGTACATCTCATAAAAGTACATTATCTACATAAATTCTTAGTGTATGTCTTCAGCAATATGAAGTTTCACAGAAAAATACTGCCTGTATGTACAAAGATTACATAACAATGAATTAAGCACTTGTGTGGTTCAATACGCTAATCTATCCATACCACTTAAAACAAAACTTCTCCCCATCTTGTCTCATGCCACAATAAATTACAAGTGACCGAAGCCCGGTGACAGAGGCTTTGTACAGCCTCAAAGCACTCAACGACGACGGTGCAGTCATGCTCGCTTGTTTCTCACAGTAGCTGTTGAAGCACAGCCGTCCTCAGTAACTGTTCTCGTGGCCCGCCAGGATGTATAAATTGCTGTTTGCTGTGGGATTATCAGTTGGCCTACTTTCCAAAACCACGACCCTAAAGGGGACAAACATACAAAAGTTATCTTGAAAACTAATGTAAGCAGAAACATTTTCCATTGCTTCTTCAGTTTATGTCTCTATAAATGCTGTTCGATTTGTGGGTAGAAAATGACTTGCAAATCACTATGACTAAAGAACCAGTTGCAGCTCCAGGAAGTACTTTTGCTGCCCACTGTCTCCCACGGCTCAGCCAGTGTTGTTTGAAGAGCCAGAGGTGCGGAAAACCTGTATTTGGAATAATTTGGGGGAACTTAATTCTCACGAAGTACAGAACAACCTGTTGTTCAAGAATCAGAAAGTGTATCAGAATAGAACCCAAAAATTCTATTTGGCACTATAACCAAAAAGATTTATTTGTTAGCATATGGTATTTCCTCTTTCTTGTGCTGTAAATCATACTTTAGACAGCACATTTAATGCAAAATAAGTACCGGCAGGTCTATATATTCCTGTTACTTAGAAGATCAGGCACAGTCTCAAAGGCTTTATAACTTCCTGACTTGTGAATTCTTTAGTGTGAAAAATACAACGTTGAATATATTACTGTAGAAATTTCAATTCCCTTGAAAAAGAAATCAGTTTCATGCTGGATTTATAAAACGCATTTAGTACTATTAATACAACCTCTTTCCATACCTGTCAGATCCAAGCAGTCTGAAAATTCTTGTGTTATCTGAAATTTCTTGTGTTACCTGTTCAATTAAAATATAAACTTAATTTCTGGAATTAAAGGCACAAAATTTTAT